CCCTCCAGGCCCCCCTCCAGGCCCCCCTCCAGGCCCCCCTCCAGGTCCCTTCCAGGCCACCCCGGCTGGTGGCAGAGAACTCAAGACGCCCGCAGCCCCAGGGCCCACGGAATGATTCCAACAGCCCAGCCACCGGCCCGCCCCGCCCAGCAATGCTCAGAAAGCCACCAAGGCTCTCCCCTCGCTCCCTCCCCCGTGAGGCCTGGCACTGCCCAGTGGCCCTGCCCGGTGGCCCTGCAGGGCTTCACCACCCCTGAAAGTGAATAAACCTAATGGGAAGAGGGGGCAGAAAGCTGGGGGCTTGCTCTTCCCTGTGGACCCCCGACCCCGACCTCGACTCCGACCTGGACTCCACACAGAGAGGGGGCTCCAGCTGCAGCCCACCTGGGTCCCTCCCTCGTGGGTACAAATGCTGAGGACAAGGGGTCCCCGCGTACGTGCTGCCCAGCCAGCCGCAGCGCCACGGCACAGGAGGAAAGTGACCTCTCTGTGCTTACCCCAGGGACACGGGGACAGGTGGACTCCCAGGGCCCATCGGAGACACCAGGCGTGAGTCTACCACACGTCAGATGCAGCCACCTGACCCAAGACACAGGAAAGGAGGGACACCTCAAACTGCACCTGGGACACCGTGTCACCTTGTCCTGGGCCACCTGGGTACAAGTCACAGCCTCTGCCCAGGACCTTGCCAAGGGAGCTCCCACCCAGGGAACGTGTCCTGACTCGGCCCAGAGACCCCCTGCCACAGCGCCTCCTCTCCGCGGCTCTCCTCAGGGCCTTTGCTCCGACACCCACGCTCGGGGCCCAGCCCAGCACGCAGCTGACCACCCAGTGCCCCTGCACTTGAACCGACTCCTTGATGGCCCCTTTAAACCCAGGGTTTCTCTATCGTCTGCTGTGTGACGTGGGACCTGAGCGTCAAGAGAGCCACTGGTTAGATGCCAGCAATTAAGATGGGCACAGGGCTGCCACGGTCAGGGCTCCAGGTGAGACCAGAGGTCCTCGGTGAGGTCAGGCGGGAGGACGCAGCTGAGGCCACGCAGTCCCCGAATCCCTCCCGAGTGTGGAAAGACAAACGCACCAGCCTGTGGCAAGGACAGCCACAGCCCTCGGGGAGTCTGACCGAGGCCAGAGCTACCCACCCAGGCCGCTTCCAGGCCAGGACACCCCCGCCCGCAGCGGAGACCCCCGTACCTAGCTGCGTGTCTTCAGGGTGAATATCCACCGAGGCTGGGTGCATCGGAGAGTTGATGGCACTTTTGCCTTCTTCCTGCAGGTCACTCACTGTTGAGGGAAAACGGAAAGAAAGGCCTGGTCAGCAGGAATGGACCAGCACGGCCCCGGCACCGACCGTGGAGGGGAGGGGAGCTGGCCGACCCGCCACCAACATCAGCCAGTGCTCCCACGGGGCCCACGGTGTCCGAGGGAGAACGTCCCAACCCAGACACGTCCAGCACTCCCCCCACACCGGTCAGCTCCCAGCTGCCACCGAGCCCGGCCAGTCTGTGTTGGCTGCTCCCTGGAGCCCGTGACTAAAGCACAGAAGCTTCTGGATGCTTCCAGATGTTTCCAGGGGCTTCTGGACCTGCCCGGAGCTGCTGGGGCAGCGCTTGGACAGCGGCATCAGGGCTCCTGCAGGCAGAGCCGTCCCCGTGCCCACTTGGAGGGCCCTGTGCTGTGCCGCCAGATGACAGCACGTTCTTCCACGGTCCAACCATGGCCGTCACCCCAGCTGCACTTTGGATGGCAGACTCAAGCCCAAGACCCGGAATCGGGGGGCGTGGGGTGCAGTCTGGGCACCCGCCATCTTTACAGCAGAGAACCTCTGGGATCCTGGAGTCCCTCATCTCACATCACAAGCTGGTCTTCTCCACTGACCGCCTCCAGGGACAGCGCCGGCCACTCTGCCCAAGGCCCCTGCTCCTTGAAGGAGCGTAGCCAGAGTAAGAGCCCCTGCCTCAGACCTCGAGCCTCTCAGACCTGGAGACTGAGCTCCCGCCTCCCAGCAACCGGTGACAGGTGACCCTGGGATGATGGCTCTGGGGCCCCGCCCTGGCCAGCACAGGACCCCAAGCCAGTCCCACCAGCACTTTCAGATAAAACTGTCAAAATGCCCAGCCCCCAACCCTCCTGGGCTGCAGGACATGGTGGGCGTCAGGTCCCAGCCAAGGGCCAGGCCGCGCCAGGCTGCAGGCCCCCTGTGGGCCCCCCGTGGGGCAGACACGGCTCCGGCCTGGGAAAGCCGGCAGCGGGGAGGGGCCTCTGAAGACGTGCCACGGGGGGAACCAGAGAGGCCGCCACTGCCCGGCGCCCAGCGTCCAGGTGAGGACCACAGCAGAGCCCCAGCCGTGAGGGGAGGAAGGCACCAGCACACCTCGCGGGCTGCTGGCCTCCCGGTGTCCGCCCAGGAGTGTGCGGGGAGGGGAGCCCCCAGATCTCCCCGAGGCGCTCTCCGGGTCTTTCTTTGGGATTGGGAAACGGGATACCTGGGGGGTTTGCAGCCCTGGGGTTGAACATCAGCCCTGGGGACCCACCCTCCGCCCCTCGCAGGGATGACAGCAGCGGAACCCCACACCCCTCTAACGTCAGCACAGGCCCGGACACTTGGCTTTTGGGAAGTGCCCATCCTACACCCCCGTCCCCAGCAGCACGATTCACAACAGCATGTGAGGATGGCCCAAGGGTGCAGACAGACGCAAGTGAGCAAGGTGCAGGGGATCCCCACACAGGAGTACTATTAAGCCTTGAAAAGGAGGGGATCCCGACACCGGCCACTACAGGGTGTGCCTCGAGGACACGATGCCCAGTGGAACATAACCCAGGCACAAGACAGATGCTGTGGCCGGAGTCCCCCCACGTGAGGCCCACGAGGAGACCCAAGATGGAACAGAGGGTGCTGCCAGGGGCTGGGGCAGGTGCCCACACGGGCTCCTCTTGGACGGCACAGAATCTCAGTTTGGGAAGACGGAACAGTCCTGGAGGAGGATGGCGGTGACGGCACCAGGATGGGCGCAACTTGACGCCCCGCACGGGGCATTCGGAACGCTCGGGGCTGGACGGCTCAGTGGCACCTCTGGCTCCAGGCCAAGGCCCCGCGCTCCGTCCCCAGCACCCATCAGAGTCGGGAAGGCAGGCGTCACGTATTTTATCAAGTACCTAAAGGGGCCGCTCCCGGGGTTGCCGACACTGCAGTCTGGAGGCGACCTGTGCCCGGCCCCGCGGGCACAGACCCCGCGGCATCCTGAGCAGACCCGGGCGCTGGCCCCTTGGACCCCCAAGTCCTCGCCAGAGCTCTGAGCAGGAAGCTGCCGTGGTGAGTCCCGGGTAGCCACGGGGCGAACATCCGGGGTCTGCAGTGTCCCCGCCGCCCCTTCCTAGAGATGCCGCGAGCCCCCACGGCCCCAGGCCAGTGGGAAAGACACCAGTTTATCCCTGTTTCCACTACAGGATTAGATACAAAGGACGTGTGACTCTCAGGGTCTCAGACGGCAGAGACCCCCATGTTTGCAGCGAGGTGAACGAGGGTCTGCAGGGGACCATGGGCTCCTCGGACCCAGATCCCCAGCTGGTGTCACAGAAGGGGACAGAGGAGGCCAGGAAGGTCCCCTCCATCCGAGGCCAGTGTAATGGTCATGCCGACGGGAAGAACAGAAGACCAAGGTTTCCTTAGAATAAGGTCTTGGAGGTGGGCCCTTGGGCACAAGGGAGCCGCGAGAGCCGCCAGGAGGGGCCACAGGTCCTCTCCGTCCCCAGGGCTTGCTGCAGGCCGTCGGTCCCCAGCTCCACACACAGGGAGGAGGGAGTCGGCTTCTGCAGCACAGGAGCAGGCCAGGTGAGGGCAGAGACGTCTCCACGCCGACCTTGAACCAGGGCCACGCTGTCCTTGAACCAGGGCGCCCGTGACCTTCTGGAGGAGAAATGCACTCCCACCCTGGTCAGCCGCACGCCCGGGGCCTGGTCTGCAGGACGCCCTGAGGGAAAGGGTGGGGGGAGGACAGCGCAGACCCCGGCCCACGGCATGCGCCAGCCTGCACTGGCCGCCCCAGGAGAGTCCCCGCACCTGGCCAAGCCCCAGGTCCCGACGGGCGCGGGTGGCAGGAGTACCACCCACAGAGGTGTGAGGAACAGGACGGTCCCCTCACACGGCTGGAAACGCAGTCCACGGTGGCACGCACAGCTGTGGACAGGGCTCCCTGACGTGGCCCCAGGACACCACAGACAGGGACGGGGAGGCGAGGAGGTGACTTCGTGGGAGAGCCAGGGAGGCTTCCTGGAGGAGGCAGCAACTGCCAAAGCGGGACCTCTGTGGAGCACCAGGGTCACAACGCAGAGCCGCACCCGGAGGGTCCTCCAGCCTGCCACCCACCACGCCTGGGGTTTCCAGGGGACAGGCCCCATCACTGACGCAGCGTCCCTCCGAACGGCCTTCCAAGGACCCAGCCAACCTTTGGAAGGAGGCTCCCCCGGCCCAGGGCTGGCCCTGCCCGTCCGGCTTCCCCGTGAGCCAGGAGTGGTTGGGACTTAAAGTAATGGTCCATTTGTCAGAAAGACAGTACCCCACAGAGGGGTGCCAGCTGTCCTGGGTCACGGAGAAGGACGGGCGCAGCCAGGGAGCAGGCACAATCCCCGCCCAGCCGAGCCCGCAGCCCGTGTCAGGGATGGACGCGACTTCATGAGGGCCCTGATTAAGGGGGAATGGCCAAGTCCTTCCTCTGGCCTGTCCTCCTGAGTGTCCACGGAAACCCCACACCAGCCAGGACAGAGGCCCCAGAGGCTCCGCTGCACCAGGGCTCCCTGCAGAGCCAACGCTGGGGTCAGTGGGCAGCCAGGGAGGGACGGTGGAGAGGTACCAGGACGGGAGGGAGAGGGGGAGGGAGGAGGGAGAGAGGACAGGGAGGAGGGAGGAGGGAGAGGGAGAGGGAGGAGGGAGAGAGGACAGGGAGGAGGGAGAGGGACATGGAGGAGGGAGAGGAGGAGGGAGAGGGAGAGGGAGGAGGGAAAGAGGACAAGGAGGAGGGAGAGGGGACAAGAAGGAGGGAGAGGGACAGGGAGGAGGGAGAGGGACAGGGACAGGGAGGAGGGAGAGGGGACAGGGAGGAGGGAGAGGGAGAGGGAGGAGGGAGAGAGGACAGGGAGGAGGGAGAAGGACAGGGAGGAGGGAGAGGGAGAGGGAGGAGGGAGAGGGGACAGGGACGAGGGAGGACAGGGAAGAGGGAGAAGGGTCAGGGAGGAGGGAGAGGGAGAGGGGACAGGGAGGAGAGAGGACAGGGAGGAGGGAGGACAGGGAGGAGGGAGGACAGGGAGGAGGGAGAGGGGACAGGGAGGAGGGAGAGGGGACTGGGAAGAAGGAGAGAAGACAAGGAGGAGGGAGAGGGACAGGGAGGAGGGAGAGGGGACAGGGAGGAGGGAGGGGACAGGGAGGAAGGAGACGGGAGAGGGAGGAGGGAGAAGGACAGGGAGGGGGGAGAGGGACAGTGAGGAGGGAGATGGGACAGGGAGGAGGGAGATGGGACAGGAAGGAGGGAGAGGGGACAGGGAGGAGGGAGAGGGGACTGGGAAGAAGGAGAGAAGACAAGGAGGAGGGAGAGGGACAGGGAGGAGGGAGAGGGGACTGGGAAGAAGGAGAGAGGACAGAAGGAGAGCCAGGGGCCGGAAGCTCTACTGAGACAAGAGCCCCATCTGCACATCACCGTCACCTTGGAGTCCACCTCCCTGGTCCAGCCAAGGATGGCAGGTGGGACGACTGGGCTCCACCCCAGGTCTTTGAGTCTCCAGGCAAAGCTGGATGGTGGGTTTGGTGTGGAATCTCCCAACGCACAGCACCAACAAGTAACTCAGACCCAGGGACACCAGGGTCAGCTGCAGTCTCAGGTGACAGCACCTGTCCAGCAGTGGGAGTGGACGGAGGACCGCTGGTGCTCCTGAGCACCTACTATGTGCACCTCCCATGCCGTCCATCCGCCTCACCTCCCGACAGGTGTGTGGGGGTGCCTGGTGCCCAGCCGACGCCCTCTGCTACACGTGAGCCCGGAGCCAGGACCCGCCCACCCCTAGCTGATGGTGCCCTCACGCCCCCCCCCCCCAGTCCTTGAGCCTACCCTGCGTCAGGCCTCGGCTCACAGCCACCTCCCACAGGGAGCCCTCCTGGGCGCCCCTCCTACCCCAGGCCACTTCTGCCCAGCTCGTGCCACCCAGAGCTGTAGCCACCTCTTTCCTGGACCCTCCCCGGCCAGTGCTGGCTCAGCTCCTGCACACAGTAGGTCAGCATATTTTGGAGAAGTTGC